CCCAGTTCTCTAACATGAACAAAAACATTAGCTTCATCGCATAACCTGAAGTCATGATTGCTTACTTTCGACAGCCAGACACTCCCGAAGAGGAGACGTGGCTCATTACTTTATGTACCATCTGTGTGTCTGCAGTTAGTTAGACAAACATAAAGGCTTCGTATAAAAACTGAGATGGACAGACACAAGCCTGTTCAGTGTTGTGAAGACTTGTCTTACAGTCCACTTACAATTGTTTTGGTCAGTTTAGGCATTGTCATGACATAAAGCTAAATCTGTAACTACTGCAAATCTCTTCCTTTTGTATTTATTATGGAGAAGCAGATCAAATTCTAGTTCCTTCACTTTGATGTAAAGTGGGTATACTCACAGGCCTCTCAGTATGAGAGGGACTTGAAAAGACAGCACAGCTTGCTTCTGTCGTACCACAAACAGGATAGGACTCTCCAAACCCTGTGACAACACATCCACAGACACACGCACTCCCTCCGTCTGAAACCCAAAGAAAGGAAAAAGAGAACAGATTACATTACACTCTGTGGCACAACGTGAAAAACAAACACACGGATGCGCATTTAAACTCACCTTGTTCCTGGAGACGGTGTGGTTGAAAGCATAGATCGTCTGGTTTTCACTTGTAACCGTGTCATTATAGGTGACACCAAACTCTGCATCTTTCTGCACCACATTTTTGGTCTCCCCCACCGCCTCACTGACGCAGGCTAAATGGGTCACACACAGCCAGAGCAGGGCTGCCAGTCCTGATCGGATCCAACAAGGTGCAGGTCCGGAGCTGTTTTTATGTCGAGATTTCCAGAAACTCCATAACACCATTTTGTCTGACACAGTCTTCCAAAACTGGCAACTGATAGCCAACGTTATTCTAGCCAGTGTCAATACTAATGAAAACTCCACCCCATTCAGCAACAATAAACCTGGCTAGCTAACTGTGTTTACACTTCCAGCAATAACAGCAGCTGCTAAAGGACAGGCTAAAGAGACAGCGGGATCTTACGCTAGAAAAATACTTTTTCCTCGTCCTTTTAACGTCCGTAACAATCTCGGATCTGTCAGCTATGTAAACAATAATACAAGTTTCAAGACAACAAGATGACAGAGATAAGCTAGCAGGCTGTTAGCTAGCTGTGCACCGTTAGCACTGTTGGTCAGGACGCTGGTCGGGCAGCTCCATGTTTTGATCGGAGTTCAGTTCCAGCGTCGCGGAGCGTGTCAAAATTATACAGCACGAAGTGTTTTTCCAAGTCTGTCCAATGTGAGCGGGTGTCACTGCCTGTACTCGCCACCCCGCGGCATTGTGCAAGTCTTCTCGTTCGGAGGGGGAAGTAATTCAATGTGTTTACAGCGTGAAAATGTTGTACCTTTAGCGCCCCCTCCACGCCCAGACAGTAAACAAACCAAGTCAAATGAACAGTAGAGGGGTAAATATCAATAGGAAATAATTATTAATGTGCAGGATGATGTGATGTGATAATTTAGTTGCTGGTCAGTCTGGATACATTTCACATCCACACAAAAATAACGTCAGCAAAACCAAGGAGCTAAAGACACACACTCCTGTCTGCTTCAGTGGAGCTGAGGTGGAGCAGGTGAACAGTTTCAGGTTCCTGGGAATCAGCATCACAGAGAACCTGACATGGTCATCTAACGTCTCCATGCTGATGAAGATGGCTCCGAAACTACTGTATTTCTTGAGATCCCTGTGACCTGAGACCCAAATCCCTGTGCCAAGTTCTTGTCAGCTTTTTCAGAGGAAAGCATCCTGACTGAAAACCTCTCTAACTGGTTTGGGATGTGCACGGCCCAGGATCGGAGGGCTCTGCAGCGGGTGATTTGATGTGAGGGGCCTACGCAGAGCCCAAAGGATACCAAAGCACAGTACCCAGCCAGCCACAGCCTGTTCACCCTGCTGCCTTCTGGGAAGAGATATAGAAGTTTCTGTTTTTCTGTCTTTCGTTTTTTTCTTTTTACCATTTTTATTATTGCTTTTATATTACTGTGTTTTCACTACGTAGCAGAAGGGAGTTACAAACTCAATTTCACATTACAACCTATTGTATTGTGACAAATAAATATACCTTTTATTAAATTCGCTATTTAATAGAAGGTATATTTTAGGCCAGCTCCAAACAAAGCAAAAGAGACCAGAAAACCAAAAAAGCTAAGAAGACTTTATTATTATTATTATTATTATTATTATATCAAAATGGGTCTACCCCTGGCTTGTACAAAGTTTGGACCTGGTTTCTATATGACCCTAGTCATAAATAAAGACATTCATTTCATTATCTTATACAGAAGCACACTCTTTGTCATGAAAACATTTCAGTTTGTTAAAAATAGCTATGTGTAATTTGTTACAAGTCTACCCCGAAACATATCTGTAAGTCTTATTATTTTATTTTATTTGTAGTGACCTCAAAACCTGACCAGTTACACATTTTGAAAGAGGGACAACAAGGAGGTTGTGATGACAGGTGTTGAAATCTTTTTGTTTGTGCGCAAAATGTAATAGAACTGCAGCGTTACATTTTGGGACAGGTAAAGGGAAGTGGAGGAGTGAATGAAATGACTAATGTTACAATATACTGAAAATTATCTACTGTAAAGCAATGTTTCATTTTCAGTGGATGACTTTTAAAGTGACACTAAATATTTAGTAGATAAATGTATTTTCATATTCGGGCAGACTTTGGTTAGGTCCGCTATAACCCAAAATTAATTGTGTAAAAGCATAGAACAGTCTGCCAGGGGTCCTGAAGACAAAGGAGCTGTTGGGCCACATTGATCCTCCTCTCTTCAACTCTCTGTGCCAGTTACTCTTCAAGTACAGAACACAGCAGACTACAAATGGCAACTTTAATATAATTTGCGTGAAACCCCAGAAACCAACCAATATTCCTATGTTAGTTATTTCTATTACTTTGAGTACTTCCTGACCCCAGGTCTTCTGTGTATCACTTTGTCTGTTTAAACACAAATCTATGCAAGAATATGAACCATGTTTCCTCAAAAGTATCTTGACACATGTGAAATTTACAACCCCTGGGACTCAAGTTTAGGTAATGCAGGCATGCCTTTAGGGACATCAGCTGAGGAAATAGTGCACATGCCAGAAGAAAAATTCAATGAATCAAATTACCTCAAACAAATTCACATATATAGAACCTGTTCTTTCTGGGGCCCTAGGTCTCTGGGACTTAGGGCTTTGCTCAGTTAATCCAGCTTTGAGTAACAGGATGCAGGAACTCTTCTCTACCATGTAGTGGAGCTGTCTGTCTGACAACCTGGTGAGACGGCTATAGCATAGAATAGAACAATTGTGTTTTTTCCCCACACACTACAGCCCCCTTAGAAAAAGCCTATTCTAAAGCATTTCTGCAGAACAGGTTAGAACAAACAGCAGCATGATATGAAGTCAACTGTTTTATATAGCGTGAATAGTTTTTGATTAAATTATTAAATTAGCTTTGTTGGTGAATTTAAGTAATCATTTTAGTTTAAAATCTGTGTTTTAATGGCATGTTTTGGTCCTATAACTTCAGCATGTGGCCTAATATTTCCTTTAATTTTCACACAGGGCACTCTAAAATATAAATAAATCCCATATGTACAAATATTGCATTAATGAATTAATTTGTTTTTTTTTGCGTCTCAGATTAATAGGCTTAAGTCAAGTCATGTCAATTATATTTATTGCCTCAATGGCTCAAAATTCTACTAGTACTATATGCTGCAATAAAGCATAATTGTTTCACCAAAACATTATTATGATTATGATTGTGTTTATTGTGAAGATGAGCTCATCTTTCCACTTTCACTGGCTGATATTCAGGAGCATACAGTTAATAACAAAATGTGTGAGAATGTGTTGAGTCTGCACGTGAAAATTATGATTAAACAATATGGCCTGCAGGTAGCCCTGTAATGTGTCTCATGTAGCACACTTACTTTGATTTTCTTTCAGTAGCTTTAATGTGACTCAGTGACTTCAAATCAATACTAATGCCAATATGTGGACACACATATTCATGTTGGATTTTAGCGTTTGTTTGTTTTTAAAGCCCAAAACAAGAGTGATAATTACTTTAACAGGTTGAGTGTAGTGACTGTAGAAGATCCTTCCATGCCCAGTGGCTAACAATGGAAAGCACACTATAATCAAAGGCTCAGAAACTGGAAATGTTCCATATCCAAGTAAAACATTTCTTTGAAATGTGCTTAATTCTGTGTGGTGGGAAGTTGTTTGGTGTGTGTCAAGTGTAGGAACATGTTCCGGTATTGATTAGAAGTCATGGGGTCATGGGCGCTGTTAAAACAAGAATTGTCCATAAGAATATTGTCATAAAATAGAAAAAGCACTAAAATCCAACAGGAAGAGGTAGCCTATGGCTATGGGGTCAGTGTAGTAATAGCCTACATTTTGTATTTGGAGTCATTGAGTAACATTACTTGGAAGCTATTGAAAATATGTATATTGTTTTTTTAAATCAAAATATGTGAAATAAAATAATAATACATGAGCAATCAAAATATATAGGGTTTGCACGAACAACATACATGGCCATGATGTGTCTGGACCTCTTTAATCGACCGCCAGAAACTGTGAGCATTGCTTTTATGTTTAGGCTGTTCTGAACGCTATGATAGAATTAAACTGCGGCATAATAATGTCTGTTTACCTTTAACTCGATTATTTGAATCTGTCATTGCCATGTTAGAGCGGCTTTAGACCCTTAGAGCCCCATGAACCCGTCTGATCAGACACAGTGCCGCAGTTTGTTAGGAACCACTGAATCACGGGAACCGGGGAGATAATGCGCACTTCTCTGTCGCCACGGCAACCACAATACGTTTCTGCGGATGAAGTCATTTGTTACGCGGGTCGTCGCCATGGTTACAACCTAGAGAGGGCGCTGCGGAGGAGCGTTCCGCGTAAAATGACGCAGGGCGGGGGCGTGCCCGCGACGCGCGCTGCGCTAGGCTGCTTGTTGTTCCCGCAGAGAGGCGAGAAGATGGCGGCCGTGTCAAGCGGAGGTGCTGCTGGGTCCGCTGCGGCCGGGATTACGCACTCTGCCCGACCGACCCACGCAGGCATGGGCTCCCAGAACCGAGCTCAGCCGTCCTCCGGGATCAGCCACTCCAGTCGTACCAGCACGGCCACTGGGTGCATCACTAATCCTGGCCACACTTCGGCCACCAGGCCCCCCCCAGCCCGAGTGGGCCACTACGAAATCGAGCGGACCATCGGCAAGGGAAATTTCGCGGTTGTTAAACTAGCCACACACATCATTACCAAAGCAAAGGTAAGGCGACTTGTGTCAGAGCGTTAGATGTGAACAATTACAAGATGTCATTGTTTTATTTTAAGCCTTTTCGACCATGTACTCAGGATGAAGCTGGGGCCTTCAGGCTCTGGAGACAAAACGACCAGCCCGCTCTGGTGACACCGCTGCTTGGTGTTGAGGGGTTCGCTCAACACGGGACATCACATCTAACTAACTTACTTGATACAGACACATTTACTACAAGATACATGTGATTTCGCGTATTTTTAAACTATTGGTATTTTTAAGGAAAGCCATAAAGGCCCGAGGTTAATGTGTGACAAAGCGCAGAGGACGGAGAGAAGGGTAACGTTATTGACGAAGATGAAAAAGAGGAGACCGAACCTTCCGACTGTAGGAGCTAGCTTAGCTTGCTAGCTAATTAGCTGTTCGGCTAGATGCAGAACTTATGTATTTCGTACAGATACCAACACGCAAGGTTAAAAGTTTGCAGCACCCTACTGGATAACTTTAAATTAACAATGAACTTCCAAAGTTGATGGGTGTAAGAGTTAGGTAGTTAAGTATTGATAGGTCTCTATTAAATTGAACGTAAAAGTAACTTTCCAACGAAAACTGGTTAAAGCCAGCTGTGGCAGTGCTAAAAACTGTAACGTTAGCTTCTGTATTAGCTAACTTAGTTTGACAGAGGATCCTCTTAAATAAACAAGCCACTTTCCTTTTTATCATTTCACGTCAGTAGTTTCTCACGTCTTTCTAACAAAATAAAACCATTTTATCGTAGGGTAACGGTAACTTAACCAGTCTGACAAAGCTGTACTTCAGCCCTGTGTACCAGTTTTTGTTTAAGATATCCCAGCTAATAGCTAGATGACATTTACTTGAAGCCTCTCGGGCAAGAAAAGATTTATATGGCAACATTTGTGATTTCAAAGCTGCCATCACACACTTGGCATTAAATGCTTTTGCATATAATTGGCGCCAGTTGTCAGGATACTGGATGATTAACACATTCACTATCAGACACTATTGTCGATAAATGAAATTCATGCAAAACACAATCATTCTTGATGAGTTAATGCCTTACATTGATGTTTGCCACAAGTCAGTCCTGTGCTGCAAACATAGAATCTGTAACTCTGATCCTGACACTTCATCATATGCAGGCGTTTTTAAAAATGGGTATAGTAGGGTTTGTTGCAAACCAGAGGTTTGGACCTTTATGATAGGTAGGGGAAGTTTGGGGCATTAGAAGTAGAAGGGATCGTCAGATATTCCAGTAAGTGTTTTTCTTTTGTGCTTACCTATTGGATCAGGTGCCTTGATGTTTCAAAGCTGCCTGTGAGCAGTCTGTCACTCCAGAACTCCAACCATACTTTCAATAAGGTGACAAGAGAATCCTGCCTTTGATGATCTGACCAAGGCTGAACAATTAATCAAAATATTATTTAAATTGCAATATGGCCAAGTACAATATCCAAATGGCAGGAACTGCAGTGTCTTAATAAAAGGTCAAATGTGTCACAACATACCATTTTACCACATTGAGTTTCTACAGAGATGGCCCAGCCTACAAATCATATTCTCCAGATATAAGGGAACATGTGGAAATGAAATACAAAAATTACATATCTGTCAAAATAATTGCAATATTATTATTTTTTTATTTTGCCTATTGTTCAGCCCTAATACGACTTGTGATCAGTATGCACATCGCCTATGATGATGCTCGGTAAATAGGGTTACACTTGCAGACGGGGATATATATAAAGATTTTTGTATAGCTTGTATTTCTAATGGAACAAATAAAGGTGTGTCAAGGCAGCTGAGTGTGCAGCGTTACCTCCATGCCCTTGTTGACATACACACACACACGAGTCATTTGGGTGCTTTGCCGCCACATAGCCCAGAGAACCTTCCATGTTGCTTCATGAGGCCAAAATAAACCTCGGACCAGTGATTGCCATGTAGTGTTTTTCAACACTGCAGACTTCTCTTGCAGGACCTAAACTGTGTTTTATATAATTAAAATGTAATTTACAGACGATAGATATGGGAGTAGTGTGTTCAGTCTGAGACAGTACAGTAGCAATGTTATAGTGAGAGATTGATGAGCTGGTTATGAGGCTTTACTCCTTGTGTGTAAGCTTGTTTATGCTTGCCTGGGTGTGTGTGTGTGTGTTTGGGGGGGGGGGGGGGGGCGCTCTGTCTGGCTGTCTGAATGTGAGAGACAGGCAGAGGACAAAATGACAGCAGAACGTGGACTGACAGAATGAAAGTGATGCCTTGTTTGTTGTCTGTTGATGGTGACCACAGACAGACCAGTCCGCTTATGATTTTCTTCAACTTGCTCAGGGGTCAGGGGTTTTGGCACCACCAGTTGTTCATGGATATCAGAAGAATAGGAGTGTGCTTTTAATATGCTTGTGGATATCATGAAAATGGATATGATCAGTCATAAGATGAAATGCGCTTTGGAGGCTTGTTTTATGGCCTAGGGTTCATAACTATCTCATGAGAAATGCTGACTAGTCAAAAATAGCCTAACAACTCTCTCTGTTGTTAGATGGAGCTGGACGGTATCCTGCAGTGCAGTCACACAGAGGAACTGGTTATTTATACTAGGTAGATTAGAAGCCCAGAAAGGGATGGTCCCTTTCTATGCCCCATTTGCTCTCTGTAGTTTAGTTTATTTCCCCAACACACACTACCATTTCAACCATGTATTTTGCAAATTCTTGTGGAGGCAGTCCCTGTGCTGCACCTGGATGTTGTAATAGTGAAAGTTCATCTCCTCAAGACAAAGGCAAGCTAGTGAAAGTCAGTACAGGAGTTGTGATACGCTCACACAGACACTATGCTAGAGGGAGTTTGGCCACACTTTACCGCTGTCTTGATAAATGTTGTCAGTGTTCAGTTTCTCCATAAACTTTATTGCTAGTCATGACCCTTCAACAAGGGACATGCTTTTTTCTATTGGCTCTGGGTGACACTATAAATTACTTGTTTTAGGTGTAGCTCCAATACTTACTGCTGTACGAATTTAGGGTTATTGCAGCAGTACCAATGGCCAATTTGTTCTTTGATTTTGATTTTTAGTTTAGAAAAAACTAGGTAGTAACCTAGATCACCTGACACACAACTGACTTTTGACATTGTGTGTACATGCAATAGTGTAGCCAGTCATACATATTAATAAGTAATGATAGATATTAGTAAATAATATGTACAAATGTAACAATCTAGTTAATGATGATTTTTAATATCAGTTAATCTATTGGTTGTTTTTCCTTTTAATCAATGATGTACCAAGGGGGGGTTCATTGGTTGTGTCCATTTCATGTAGGGCTGTGCGGTATTATGAGGTATACCGATATAGTTTGATGTTGAGTTAATTGTTTCTGTAAAGTCCTGCCAGCATTTGCTCCCCTCTCTTTCTCTCCTTACTGCGCAGCCCCACCCCTCCCTCTGAGTCTGCACGCAGCCGTCTACTTTCAAACTCTCAACCAACCACATGGAGGGAGGCACAATGCCGGTCAACACTGCTGAAGACCTGGCTTGTATAAAGAAAAACAATGGTTCAGTCAGTGTTTCCCACACATACACTTTACTTCGGCGCTCCGCCTAGGTATATTTGGTGACACACTGTAGCATTTTTCAGAGAAACACAGAGGTATGACGTTACAAGCGACCAGGTTAGACAAGCGACCGTGAACACACCAGTCGGATGTCATTCGTTAGCTACCACGTTGGATTTGTTTTGATAGGCTACGTCGTCAACTCCTCAATATGCGGCACAGCTGCTGCTGTGAATGAAATCGCGGGAGGAAAAGTCCAGAAGTCAAGTTCTTTTCTTTGGTGACTTTATATAACGTAGCCTACTACTGATAAAGAAAATCACTAGAGCAGACTTACAGGGAGAGGGAGAGGTTGAAAGAAGTGGGGCATGCTGACATGTTTGCAGCAGAGGTACGTTAGGCCTGTGAGTGTGCACACTTAGCAGAAAATACCGATATATATTTTATACCAGTAGTCAGCCTAACAGTACTGGGATATGACTTTGGTCCATATTGCCCATCCCTAAAACAAAGTATAATCTACATAAAGTATATTCTGTTCTATTCTAATTTCATGTTACTTGTGTTTGATTGGCGTAGCTTTGTAAGGGGGTGGGTGTTAATGGACAGGAGTCAGGGGGGAAAGAGTGGAGACGGAGAGTGTAGGCGCTTTCATACGGAGATCAACACGGAAAGGATACCCCCATTTATGTCGTGTTCCCTAATTCAAACTGAACAAAAGTTTTCAGCATTATCCCGCAACCGTCCTCTGACTGTTACATGTAACACAACACCAGCAATGTTGGCTGTGACCTTTCACACAGAGATCGTTCCGTCTCGGTCTTGTCTCTGTCACGTCACCAGCTTTCCTGTAGCGTGAAAGCTGCTAGGGTCAGGAGCTCATTATCTCATCAAAAGTTGGACTTGAAGCGTTTGTGGCGACATTTTCCGTTACCAACAAAATGAAAAAACAAAGCAGAGGAAGAGGAGGCTGAAGCAGAACATAAAAAAAGTAAAGTTGGCAGTCCGGTCGGTGTATGACACCCTGTTAGATCTTCTAATGGTCCTGCTGTCCTCTCCAGAAATCAAGGAGTAGGTCTATGATCCCCATAGGCTGTATAAAAAAACAAATGTTGATCCCACAAAAGCTGTGATGCTGTGGCATTGCAGAAAGTGAGCAGTTTTATGAGGAGGTTTAATTGAATGATAAAGCATGATTAATAGTGAGCAGTGATGGGATTTAAGTTGAAAGATTAATTAATTTAAAAAAAGATTAAGAATCTTGTAAGTTCAGAAAATAATTTACTTTTATGTCTTAAGTACATTTAATGGCAATAATATAATTTTGCTTCAAATTTCACTCTGGCCTCTTATTTAAGTTTGTATTTGACATAATACCATATTATCTCATTTCAAAGTACTGAAACAAATGTATATGTGACACAAAAGGCAATTTATTAT